ACATTCAGAGCTCAGAGAAGGATCTGTAGGGACAGTGACATCACTACCCCATAGCTGCATCACCCAGTATGACAGGAACTGCATTTCCTTACCCTGGTTACTTTCGAAAAGACTTTAAAGAGCCATGTGTGGACAGGGGCTAGGTTCAGCACCTCAGCTGTCCCCAGCTGTAAGGTGGGTTAATGTTAGCATCCAGTCTTCCAGGATCACTGGGGGATACAGAGCCACATTTAAACCTGTCTGCCTGATTTGTGGCACATGGTTAAAAAGATTTAGTAATTCTCTCTTGGTGACTTGGATGCCCTAGAGGAGTAGATAATGCCAGGGGCCTGAAACCAAAACTTAACCATCACACAAGCATCAGATTTGCCAAAGGGCAGAACATATACAGGGAGAGACAGATAGACAGACAGACAGACAGACAGACAGAGACAGACAGAGACAGAGACAGATGGAGACAGAGAGACAGACAGAGACAGAGAGAGAGAGGCATCCAAATTCCCAAGGCTCTTGCAACTCCAAGGCTCACATGCACCTTTAAACATGGAAGTCTTTCTCAGCTCTAGAAGGCACCAAGGACGCCAGCACTCGCTTTCGGGCCTGTGTCCTCCCTCCCTCCCAGCCCGTCTGCCTCTGCAGCTTGGGAAGCCTTGCCCCTCTAGCAAGGCCAAGTGCAGAGGCAGGCTTGGAAAAATCCTCGTGCCTGGAGGGCAGGCCTAGGGCAAGGGCGACAGAACAGATTCCGTGAGCTCATCCCCAGCAGCCCAGAGTTCCCAGAGAGGCTGGTGGCGTCAGGAGGGGGTGACTGGGTGGGAGCCGGGCGGTGGTGGCTGTGCAGCAGCAAGGGGTGTGGGGTAAGGAGGAGGCTGATGGAACTCGCTATAATAGCGGCTTTGTACTCCGATTCCCAGCTCCCTGGGAACGCCAGGAAGATTATGAAACCCGGTGTCTTTGGGAATGCCAGGATATTAGCTGGAAAAAGAATAATACGAAAATAAAATAATGCGCGGGATGGAGACAGCAGACGCTTAGCAGACTGAGCCAGGGCCTCCCGCTCTGAGGAGAGAGCCAGGCTTGGCCCCTGCTGCTGGTGCTAACGAGCAGACAGGGCCTGCCTTCCAAGGAGACGATTTCCAGAGGGTGCTGGCAGGCCAGGGGAGGGGTGGCAGGAGGCAAGGCATAACCAGGCCTAGTCCTGGGGCCCAGACATTCAAACCCCTCAGATTCCCAGGAGGTTCCCTTAGCCCCACCCACAGACATTCCCTGGCTCTTTCAAGGTCTCTCTCTATAGCCTCCTCCAAGCCCCCTCCCCCTCAGCATGGTCACTCTGGAATAACTATAGAACGGCAAAGATATAGAAGGCAGCAGGTTTAGTCTCAGTCACACATGAAAATCTCTCTTCCAGCCCTGAATCACAGAGGAGCTCCCCTGTGGACCAAAGCCTCCAGCATCAGACCCACTAAAGGGCAGAACAAGCTGTCTTATCTTGCCCCCATCCATGACACTGGTCATACACCCAGTCTCTCTCAGAAAAGCATCTAGATGGTGTCTTCTGTCCTCCACACTCAGTGATGGCCCTGGAGCCAGCGGTGGTGGCAGCGGCGGTGGCGGCGGTGGCGGCGGCGGCAGCGGCAGCAGCAGCAACTTGTTACTTATGACCTTGTTAGAGGTAGGGATTCCTGAGCCCCACCCAGACACTGACTCAGAGCCAGTATTGTAACAGGTCCTCAGCTGACTTCTCTGCTCATTAGCCTGCACAGTCACTGCTAATCCTTCCAGTGATGCTAAGATGTGGTCTCTTCCACGAGTGATGTAACAGAGTCCCAGAGGCGTGGGAGGCAGAAGCAAGATCCAGAGCACCCATGAAGCCTGTCACCCATCACACTTACACCAGGTGCAGGGCAGGCATTAGCAGACACCAGGGACCAGCAGTGTGGCCTTGGTAACAGAACACCTGGCAATCTGTCCTGTGATATGGAGTGTGCATGAGTCCCAGGTCCTGGGCTAAGACACCAGGCCAATGAGCTTACAGATGGAAGCCCGGTCCACCCTTTGACCAGGCTGGAAGCAGGTGAAGGTAACTGTAGGAAAGGAGTATGGTATGGGGGCATGTAGAATGTGATCATGTGTCTGCCCTGGGGCTGAGGGGATTCCATTTACTCAGCTACAAAGTGGTCCAGACAGTTACTATCAAAAAGGATAATCGCTCTGCCCAAAAACTGAACTCCTAAGGACACTGCAGAACTCTGGGGGATCTACCCTAGCAATCACAGACTTTCTCCCTCAGATTCTCTGGCAGTCGTGCTCCCCAGGGATGCAGAGGGCTTTCTGAGGCTGGTTCCTTCCATGTATCATGAACTAATCACAAATGAATCAAAATCCCATCAACCCTAAATATCTGTCAACTTGACATTGGACTTCAGTGGCTCGTTCCCCCATGACACGCTCTCCCACAAATAACAGACTAGTCAATGTCTCGCTTCTGGAAAATCTCATCACCATGGTGCCCCATTCCCCCAGTCTTTACACTGAGAATCTTGGGCCATGTCTTCTAGCTTTGCTTGACTTCCTTCTCCAAGCCCCACCCTGCTAGAGCACCTGCCTTTATCCATGCATCTCTGGGCACTTCTGAGCATATACCCCACCCCTCCCAGCTGACACTCAACCCCAACTCTTCCTGCTTCCCTGCCCTGGCCACCTGGCAGGCTGCCACCAGATCTGCTTCCCTCACACAGCTACACCGAATGTCAGACTAGCCAGAGCCAACAGTGAACTCAGCAACTCTGGGCTCACCCTGTGCCCGGGCCCTCTTGACTCTCTTCCCATCTACAATACTGAACCTTTGACACCCATGGGTGTCCCTCTGCTGTTCCAAATACCACCTTGGTCCCACAGCTCCTTCTCCATGTGGTAGCCTTAGCCCTGGATCTTCTGGTGGGAAATTATCTCTCTCAATTACTTCCCATAGCTACTTTACTCATGGTCCCCAATCCCTGCTCCAGCCAGAGCTCACCTCTGCTCAACAATGCTCTCAGCTCCCTGGTACCCACTGAGACGAGTCCTGGACCTGCCCTCCAGAACTCTCTGCTCACCACTATTTCCAGTTTATTTTCCTTTTCAGAAGCTCCTCTATCAAACCTAGTGGTGCTGCCAATCACAGAGCCCAAGTGTGGTCATCCAGAGCCTTCCACCCCTCTCCCCAGGCCCAGGGACTGGTGCAGGCACACAACCAGCTCAGGCCATTTTCTCCTGGAGTTGAGGCACTCTGGGCTTTCCACATGGGAGGAAGGCAGCATGCCTTTGTCTAGCAGGGTGTTATGGCTGTTGGAATGCAGCATGCTTCTGCCACCAGCACTTCATTGCTACCAAGGAGGAAACAAGCATGAGGTGAGGCTAAGACCAAGAGAAGAGTCCCAGGGACACCCTGAAAACCTCAGTTTCCTGCCACCTAATAGCCAGCTCCTCTCCAGAGCATTCTCAGCTGAGTGAGGCCCAAAGCCCATACGAGTGCAGTCTCTCTGTAGTGTTCACGCTGTTTTCTGAGACAATCTCTCACTAGAACCTGGGTCTCGATGGTTAGGCTAAGCTGGCTGGCCACAGAGCCCCAGGGATCCTCCTGCCTCTGCTTCCCTGATACTGGGAGTCCAAGCACATGCCGCCACACCCAGCTTTTTAGTGTGGAAGCTAGGGATCAAACTCCTACCCCCAGGCTTGCCCTGTGCCCACTGAGCCGTCTCCCCAGCCTCGAGTCTCTCCCTAATGAGAACGAATAGTCCCTCCAGGGCTTGCCTGGCCTTCCTCAGGCTCTTCCTCCCCTACTGTCAGCCTCAGCCACAAGACCATCCCCAGGCCCTGCCCAGTGCCCAAACCAGGCCAACACAGGACAAAGACAGCCACACACAGACCTGCTTTACTTCCTGAAAGCCACGGATCTATCTCATTTGCTCCTGTTCTGGCTGACAACTGTTTAGTGGCCCAGAGCCCAGGATGACTCTGCTTCTCTCCCAGGCTTTGTCTACAACTAGAAGGTTCTCTCTACAAGCCTGCTACAGGCTGTAACCTGGCCTTCAGAGGATTTCCTCTCCTGTACTACCTGAGATGAAGGGCCCCTCTGGCCAGCCTTTAGGGGACCACCACTGGCTCCCACTTCCTTCTCTGCTTCCATTCATCACATCTGGACTCACCCGACTAGACTTTCCCAGGACTCACAGCTGCCTTGACCCACTGACATGCACATATGCATTGACACAGACAACCTTGTGTATAAAGGCTGATGGGACCTGCTTTGCAGGTTCACACCCCGGAGCACCCACAAAAAAACGCATACATAGTACCGTCTGTGTTTCAGAAGTGGTGGTCTTATGTAGGCCTCTCACTCTGTCTCCACAAGTCTCTAGACGGGCAGAACAAGAACAGCCCCAAATGTCCCTGCTCTGATTGCCATCAGCTCTTCCTGGGCCCAGATCTTGAGTCATTTGAACCAACATCAGTACTACTAACTACAGAAAATGCCCCAGGGGAACGGTAGCCATCCAGGGTTTCCCTTTCTCAGGTATGCCTCCCCCAAACCCTATCAAAGCCTCCACCCGGGAGAACTGGGTCCAGTCAAGGATATGCCAGGGTCATCAGACCTCTCTGGCCACTCCCAGACTTCTGCTCCCATCCATGCCAGCCCATCTCTGCAGGAAGCTCTAGTCCTCTGGCTTTGCTGTCTGGTGAGCCACTCAAGAGTCCCAGGCCACCTCCCTCTCTGCTCTCATCTTCACACTCAGAGAAGCAGTGGGTCCTCCAGTGTCGAGAAAGAAGCTGTCTTATTTAGGAAGACACCCAGAATGCTGTTCACTCTCCCCACACGCCACCCCACAGGGACCCAAGCCAGGATGGCTGGCCAATGTTCCATCTAAAAACCATGACCCTGGGGGCTCCATGCCTGTCCCACATCAGCCTTGGAAAGGCAAGCTGCACCCCACCCAAGCCCAGCCAGATGCAACCCAATGTACCAGGGCCCCCTCGAGGGCAAACACAGCTGCCGGCCCGGTCTTCTCCAGTGGCTCCATGCGGCGGCGCCAGCGCCGGCGGCGGAAGGCATCTGTCTTGCGGTACTCCAGGTGGAATTTCCAGCCAAAGAGAGAGGCGTACTCCCAGCCCTCGCCCTCAGCCTCTGCCTGCCTGTGCTGTGGGAGAGAGGAGGCAGCTATGAGGGAGAGACAGGGCAGGATTCCAAGGCGTAAGCCTGGAAGAGCCACCTGGAAGGTGGCTTTGAGCAGCCTTGAGTAGGAAACCCAGGAGAGAAAGGAGACTCCTAGGCCACAGGGCAGCTGAGGAGGCCGGCAGGGAAGGCAGACAGCAGCAGAGCTAGACACCAGGCTTTGGGCTGTTTATTTGAACTAGAGGTGGACTGCCTGAATCCAAGCTTTCTTTTCACTTCCTTTTTCTCCTTCACATCCCAGCTTCTAAATATAGAAATGGGTCTGCAGTTCAGAGGCTCTTGAGAAGAGCCTGCTTCCCAAGGTCAGGCTACTTCTCACCAGGATGTGGACCTAGGCCAACTGCGAGGGGCCCCTGCCTCTCCTCTAAAGGGACCGTTTCCTGTAGGAAGCGTGGCCCCAGGCCCTGTGAGAGAGAGACACAGCATTGCTGTCAGACATCACTCAGATGGGACCCCAAGCAAGGCCCACACCTCTAACAACTGGATGTCTTCCATGGAGAGGAAGGATGTCAGCCTGGTTCACAGCAGCTGGTCCACCCAGGCATCCCTCTCTAAAGCCTCAGCTCACAGGAGGGAAAGAAAGCTTCGTCCCCTAAAGTCTTTCCCACTTAAAGAGTGGGAGAGGCCTGGTTCTGCTACGAAAGCCCAAATGTGTTCTTAGGAATGAAGGACAGATGACAAGAAGATCCAGGGCAGGCAGGTCCTGAGGTTGGGCTGAACATGAGCATTCCCAGACTCTGGGACAAGTGCATGTGGTCACCTGTGCTCACAAGGAAGTACTGTGGGCCTGTCCTGTGTTCCGTGGCATCCTTGGGTGAGCACTGATGGCTCTTATCTAGCCCTTCACTAGCCAACACACTCACACTGTGGCCTATCATCCCCAGCCAGAAGCGTAGCTCAGGAGTCAGCCCACCACTAGTAAGCCAGCTCCCTGTGGAGACGTGTATTGCAGCATATCCTACCTGCCAATGGCAGATAGCTCAGAGGGTATAGATTGTATCCCCTGCCTCCAGGTAAGGATTATCTGTGGGGTTCAAGGGCCCCTGCCCTCGAGTCTCCATATCACAGAGTTTCCCTCTAGGAAACCAAGCACAAAGTGCTTCCTTTGACATCCTTGAGCCTTCAGGACTGTAGGTGAATGCTGCAGGTGAATTCTGAATCAGACCTCCATATCTGTTCTCTGTGGGGTGGAGGAGGCATCTGTAAGCACCAGGTGTGATCTGTGGAGGCTGGTGTGATCTATAAGTTTCAAGTGCGGTCAGTGTTGGGGAGGGGGGTGTCTGTGATCTGTGTGCAGAATGTGACCCATACTTTCAGTGTGATGTGTGATGTGCTAAATTGATCTGGGTGAGACCTGTCAGTGAATGCACTGGGTCTTGAAGTGTTTTGAATGAGAATGTCCCCCAGGCATTTGAATGCTTGGTCCCTAATTGATGGCACTATTTGGGGAGGTTTAGGTGGTATAGCTTCGCTAGAGAAACTATGTCACTTGGGGTGGGCTTTGAATTTAAAATCCTCACATCACTTCCAGATTTCTCTGTCTGTTTATGTTTCAAGATGTGAGCTCTGGGCTTCCTGCTCCAACTGCCCTGCCTGCTGATTGCTGCTGTGCCTCCCAACCATGATGGACTCCAACCCTCCGGAACTATGAGCCCCAATCAACTCCTTTTCTATAAATTGCCTTGGTCACAATGCTTCATCACAGCAACAGAAAAATAACTAACACAGGTCTTGTGTGCCTGTGCATACTGCACGCACACTCACACGTTTGTTAATGCACACAGGCCTGCCCTATGTCCACTGGCCCCCTCCGTTCGGAAGCCCCACTCCCCTCTGCGCCCCTTGGCTCACCCTCTTCAGTGCCTCCATCTGGCTGAGGTCCCTCCTGCGCAGTCGGACCCAGCGCCGACGTCTGTGAGTGTAATACATCTTCTCAGCAGGGACCCAGTGTTTTGGCTTTCGGTCCGGGGGGATGGTGATACTGTACTCCCAGCCTAGGGGGTGGGGTAAAACCTGTAAATCATTGTTAGCAAATCCCCATCTCTCCTAAGCTATCTCTTTTTGTGGGGCATGCTCAGAACCTAAGCAGCTAAAACTCTGGGCCTAACTGGTGGCTTGAAGTGGAGGCATGTTCAGGAAGTTCCCCAGGTGAAGTAACCCAATAAAAGCCAGACAACTGCCTGGAGCCTTCAGCTGTCTCACTGGCACACCTAGGAGCTGGCTGGGGTGGGACCCCAACTTCTGTGTGTTCCCACCTTGCTCATCGACAGCCCGATTGAGGTCTACGGACCATTCTTCATCTTCCCACTTCCAGCCCAGTGGGCATTCAATATCATCCTTTGGAAGCACCTTCTCCCCGTTCTAGAGACACAATAGGCAAATGTGAGAAGATACAGACTGAGCCCCCGCAGGATTCGAGGACACCATCCTTCTGGACCACAGAGCAATTGGGTCAGCAAGAAGGCAAAGGGGAGAAGACACGCAGACTTCTAAGTCACAAGCTCTTCATGGGACCAAATGTCCAGGACCCCAGAGAAAGCACACACTACCCGCCTGGAGCACCCGCTTACCACATCGGTGTAATTATCACTCATATAGATCCACTGGCCTCCGGGGAGCCGGGTCTGGTTCTCAAAAACCTCCTCCACAAAGCTCAGATGACCAGCGTCAGCATCATGGAGCAGGCTATGGGGGAGGACAGTCAGAGGGTCACTGAGGACACCCCATCTTCTGCCTCCAGGAGAGCGTTATACCTCAGCCCACCTGCACTATCAACCTCACTACACACAGATAGAGGCGTTAGTGCGGAGAGGCCGGGACAGAGAGGGAAAAGGAGGCTTGGAACAGGTAAAGATGGTCACAGGCCAAAGAATGTGTCATCCAAGGGGAAAGGGAAAAAAGGGGACCAATAGGAGGCACCAAAGCCCAATGGATAGCACAAAGAAAATATCGTCAAGCTGTACATTAAAGATTTAACACTTGATTCTATAATATACTTCAAGCTTTTTTTGAAAAAAAAAAAAAGGTTGCTGGATGTCACCCAGCTATAAAAAAGTGTAGAGAGTGGCTGAGGCAGCATGGTAGGATGCACGAACTGGGACCCTCCAGGGAGCAAGCGAGCTGCCTGGAACAGGAATGGTCACGTATGTGCAATGAGAGGACGTTGTCTGTGTATCACGGAGGACACGGCACATGACTGGGCACCAGCTCCAAGGTATGCTTAATAATAAAGGACTCTGTCCATGTGTGTGAACATGTGCATGTACATGCACAGGGTGGGTGCAGGTTTAGGGGGTGCACACATGCTATGGCATCCATGTGGCAGTCAGAGGACAATCTTGGGTGTCAGTCCTCACTTTCCATCTGCTTGAGACAAGGTCTCTTGGTTGTTTGCTGCTGAGTATGCCAGGCCAGCGAGCCCGCGGGCCTTGAGGGACTCTCCTGTCTCTGTTCCCATCTCCTCATTGGAGCACCGGGGTTATAGACAGGCACTGCACTGGGCTTCATCATGGGTCCCAAGGAACCGAACACATCAAGTCACTTGCATGACAAGTGCTTTTTCCACTGAGTGTCTCCCCAGCCACATGTAGCACCTGATTTCTGAGTGTTTGAGCTATTCCTGGTAGGTGCCAATCCCAGGAGGGTCCGAGTAGCAGTCTCTGTGACCAGCAAGGAGCAAGCAGGACTCACAGAGCTCAAGATTCCGGAGGAAGGGCTGGGGAGAAGGGGGAGCCATGGTTGGACATCCTGTCCTAGCCCTCTACCACCCTGGGTCTACCACTCACGTCTTCTCTGGACACACGAACCAGTCTCCTGCCCAGGCCCAGCCAGCTGAGGGGCGGAAGCTGTCCTTTGGTAGTTTGATCTTGCCTGTGACGTCAGAAAACTTGGGGTAGGTGAGGCCTGTGGTGCCCCAGTTCCCGACCAGCGCCAGCTTTGTCTGGTTCTCATACTGCAGACCAAACAAGGAAGAGAGGTGAGGGATCACGCAACTCCAGGCTCCATGGGCCAGTAGGAGGGTAGGTACTCACCGTTTCAGCAAAGACAGAGAGTTTCCCCTCGGCAAACTGATTGAATTCTTTCTCATCCACAGAGAGCCCAAACCAGAGCTTGACTCGGATCTGCACAGGCATTCGGGCCCCAGGCGCGCCCTCCATGGGATACTAGGATCAAAGAAATACAAACATTCACGTCCCTCAGGCTTGGGCACACCGGCTCAACATCCAGTCAGGTGCACCCTGTTGGGGGATTATACCAAATGTCATAGAAGTGGAATATATAACCAAAAAGTTTTTTCCGCAAGAGTCCTGTTCATCAAAGAAGACTGTAGCAGCCATGTAGGAGCTCTCTACAGATGGGGTCATGTCTGCAACAGCGTCTCTAATATCCCTTTCTCCTGCCATCTTCTTACTTCCATCATCTGAGGAAACTTTCTACTATAATGGATCTGCAAGGTCCAACAGGGCAGCCACAAGCCATTTGAAAAGCAGCTCATGGAACTAGGGAACTGCGGTTTTCATTTTATTTTGCATTAACTAATTTAAACATCTATACATGGCTGCTGTGCTGGACAGCACCATCCTAGAAACAGAAGAGCAGGGACCCAGCTCCAGAAGAGGAGCAATTAAAACCACTTCATTTCAGTTTCAGTACTTCATGCTTTGGCTAGACGTGAACACTGCATCTAATGTCCCCACAATTTCAAGTGCTTATCAGCACGTTAACCACTCTTCTGCTGTTCAGCTGGTTTTTTTATCCCGAGGGCTTCAGAAGCTCTGCCAAATGGAATAACCACAACAACCCAACATTTAAAAACACATATATGTTCCCCACGATTACTTCACCATCTCACTGAAGCCAAAGGTTAGATTCGGCCTTGGGGAACAGAGTTCTTCTCTCTTAAAATGACACTCTATCCCCTAGAGGAGGCACCATGGTGAGAGATATCTCACTGAGTAAGAGCAGCAGGGAGTCTGGGTGGGTTCAGAAAAGGCTGAGAAGCTAGGGTGGGGGTTCCCAAGCTGATGGAGAAGGCCTGGACCCCTGGAGGTAGAGGCCAGGCCAAGAGAAGGCTTAGGGAGCGGCATAGACCATTGATGGTTGGCCTTCACCCATTCCTCAGCCCATCTCCTCTGCCGTTCCTTGGAGGAGTGTGGAGGCACCTCTTACCCCACCAGTCCCCAGGAACTCCCTGTGGTGCTCACTTCGGCTGTCCCCTCCCTCAGGGTGGCTAGCTATCCTTTCCCCCTCCAAGCCACCAGCCCTTGGGACATGGCAGGAATGCCTGCCTCCTCCCTTTCCTCCCCCACCTCGAGCTCCCCACCACCAGCCTCCCCCAGACAGGCCAGCCTGCCCAACCTAAAATAGCAACAGCAAATAAAGAAATGTCTAGTTTGGGGCTCCTCTCCTCGGCTGGTGCTCACTTTTTCCAGCTTGGGTTTAAGTTAAGGAACACCAGTGTTTGCTTGGTCTCTGCCCGCTGCCAACATTTTTGTAGCGCTTGCTCAGGAGCTACTGGCAGGCTCATGAACCCAATGGGAAGACTTCGAGAAACAGTTCTCTATCTTTTCTTTTTCCCTCCTTTGCTTGGAATCAGGGAACATTCTCAGCTCACCTCCTAGAGGCTTCAGGGCCAAGAGGTCAGAACTGGAGGGAGAGGTGCTCCAGAGCCTACCAGGCCTGCCTACAGCCTGCCCACACTCACCACCCATTGCCCAGCCAGCCCATTCCCACACTGTCTCCCCTTCCACATTCCACATGCACTTGGAGACGGTCAGCCTAGGAGGGCAATCTGAGGCCAGAACTTGAGGTTAAAACCAAGAAGGTACCTCAGATGGTCCAGGAGCAGGTGGGAAAGTCATGATTCCACACACACACACACACACACACACACACACACACACGCACGCACGCGCACGCGCACGCGCACGCACACGCACACACACACACACACACACACACACACACACACACACACACACGACCCACATCCTCCCCTCTGAAAGATCAATCTCCCAGTGTACTGATTATCGTATTCCTGGCTACCTCAGTTAGGATTACCGTTGCTATGATGAAACACCATGACCAAAAGCAACTTGAGGAGAAAGGGTTTATTTGGCTTACACTTCCATATCGCTGTTCATCATTGAAGAAAGTCAGGACAGGAACTCAAACAGGGCAGGAACCTGAAGGCAGGAGCTGATGCAGAGGCCATGGAGGGGTGCTGCTTACTGGCTTGTTCCTCATGGCTTGCTCATCCTGCTTTCTTATAGCACCCAGAACAACCAGCCCAGGGGTGACACCGCCCACAATGGGCTGGGTCCTCTCCCATCAATTACTAATTAAGAAAATGTACTATAGACTTGCCTGTAATCCAATCTTATGGAGGCACTTTTTAAATTGAGGTTCCTGCCTCTCAGATGACTAGTTTGCGCCAAGTTGACATAAAACTATCCAGCACACTGCCTATAACAGATCTCCAAATGTGGCATCTGTAGAGCAAGGGACAGCCCCAAAAGAAAGAGAAGGGCAGAGGGAGAGAGGAACAAGCGTCTGCTCACCACCTGGTTCTTGAAGCAGTGCATGCACTGTCTAGTTCAGCCCTCAACGCCTGTGAGGTAGACAGCCTCGTTCCCATCTCGTAGGTGGGGAGAAAGCGGACTGTTTAGAGAGATTCGGTGACCTGGCCAAGGCCAGACCGAACTCCAACCAGCACTGGCAATCCAGCTGGAGCCAGCCCTCTCTTCCCACCCCAAAGGGCAATAAGAATGACTGGCCAACCAAAAATGGGTAAGCCAGCAGCCAGGAGGGACTCTACCCAGAGGGGCCGAGGCTGTGGTAGGGTCAACGATTACCTCTTGGAAGACTGAAGATTGAGGTAGCATGTAAAGAAGGGAAGAACTGCAGCACTGACTTTGGGGACGTGGGCCAGGCTGGAATGGAGGCAAGCCGTGGAGGCTGAGGAGGCCTTGAAAGCAGAGCCATTCGAAGCCACTGGGAGTGGACCGCTGACTCCCTGGCCACGGAGAATGGCTGTACACTTAGAAGTTATCTCACAAGGGGGCGCTGTGTTCTGATCCTCTGCCTGAAGCCATGACCAAACCGCTGGGGCTCTGTAGCCCAGTGTTCACCTAGAGAAGATGATGGGAGCCCTTCCACAAGCACCCACTCACACTCCCCTCATCAACTGTTGCTGAGGCCACTGAGACAGGGCTGGAGGCCATCTTAGAGTCAGGAATGATTCCTGAAAGAGACCAGTCCCAGTAAGCAATAAAGTCTTGAACACATACAAACACACACATGGGGCCCTTAATTTACTTCTTTTTTTTTTCCCAATGGGATCTTATGTGGCCCAGGCTGTTCTCAAACTCAATGTGTAGCCAAGGATGAACTTGAATTCCTGATCCTCCTGCCTCTACCTCCCAAATGCTAGGACAGGCGAGTGCCACCACACTGTTTTCCTAGTTCACTTCCAACCCAGATTCCAGCTCCTACCAGCAAGCCTCCTAGACTCTCTGCCTGGGGTCTGGAGAGTCTGGGGGGAACTGAAGAAAAAGAAAGTTATTTTACTCAAATACCCCTCCCTTCCCAAGATGAAAGTCTGAGGACTTTCAGATAGTTCCAGAACAGGACTGGATGGGGAGCCAGGGGAAGCTGAAAAAGGCCTTGTGTTGAGAAAATCCTATGGTGGCCCTCGCAGAGAGAACACTCACTTTCAGAAAGATGGTCTGCAGCTTTCCACAATTCCTGCCACAGTAGCTGGGCCCCCGCCGGGAGAAGAGGACTTCATGGGTGGGTACCCGTTGGTAGGCCACGCGCTTATCACCCTGCAGCATCCAGATGATGATGTCTGGCAGGCTGTTCTGGGGCTGGAGAAAGGGTGGCAGTCAAGGTGGGGATGGTGACATGTCCAGAGCCATGCCTGACCTCTGACTCAAAGGCCACAAAGGTCTTGCCTCACCCAGCTCCCATCCCATACTGGCCACTCAGGGCCCTGCCTGTGGCCCTCAGCTTACAGAGGAACTCCCACGAATGCCTTAGATGCCCATGGGTTTCTGGGAAGATGCCCCTGCACAGAGCATGGAGCCCAACTCTTAAGTCTTCTCTTGTGGAAGATGTGGTCTGCCCAGAGGAGCCTCCTTCCTCCTGCTAACCCTAGGACCCTAAGGTCTGCAGGCTTTCAGGAGTAGATGCCACCACCACAGCGGCTCCTCACTACCTTTCCAGGGCTCCTCAGAGTGAGTGAGGTCCCAGACCTGGGGGTAGAAACTGGAAGGATTTTTGAGGAGGATTCTCCAGCCCTTGCCCTCTCCTAGCCATAGCATAAAGTCTGTGAAGAGGGTAGGATCAGGAGCAAGGCTCCAGAGGCTGCCAATGACCAGCCTGGGGGACAGTCCTCACTGCTATGAGGATATGCCCAGGGAATTGGTCATATGCCTACTGCCCTACCCAGGGAAACTCTAGCATTCATCACCCCTTTCCAAGCAGCCTTTCCCATTGCCCTCTGTCCCAGACACCCTCTCCAGGTACATGCCCGGGTACCATCCCTTCTCACCATCCACATTTCCTACACACAGGCACTAGTGGTCCAGTAGTCAGATTCTTGGGGAAGCAGGCTTCAACATGAGACCTAGAGCCAGGCACTCTGGGTTCTGATACCAGCCTTGCTCTGACATCCTTTGGCAGGCTAGGCCATCTATTGAGTACCTACCGTGTGCCAGGCTCTGAGTTGGACTATGTAACACCTAGTAAGTATGCTGCTGTGTCCTGCAAATGGGCATACTAATGCTCAGAAGGTTAAGTGACCTACCCAAGGTCACCCAGCAACAGATCCAGGAATGTATCACAGTATAAACCTTTAGTCTGCATTCTAGGAGGCAGGGAGGCTGAAGAAGAAAAGGCCCCTCAGGATTCACTACCTCCTCAGCCAGGGCACGGAGACGAAGAAGCCAGTCCTCGGCCTGCTCCAGGGCAGTGGAGAGTTCACTGTGGCCAAGCTTCAAGGCCAGGGCAGCTTCTTTGATCTGGCTCAGGTGACGGGTACGTTGCCGGAACAGATATTGATCAAGGTGGGTAACAGAAGGTATTTCACGGATGTCACACAGGGGCTGGCTGTGAGAGACAGGTGGAATGTGCTCGTTCACCAGGGCTCCACACACCACAGAGGCAGGTGCATGTACACATAAGCATGCACATTTATAGGGTCCCTGCTCCCTGCCAGCCTGCTGGGTGCTCACCTTAGTGTGGCCTGCCTGCTCCAGGAAATCTCCCGCACACACTCTTGGCCCTCCCACTCTGAAACATGCCTCTTTATTCCCAGGCGATCCTTTTGGGCCTCATCCTCACCCTCCAGTTTGGTGGGTTCTTTTGTATGAGTGTTCGCTCTCCAAGCTGACTACAAGCTCTCAAAGGACCTAGAGGGTCCCTTTCCCGCCCGCCTTGTGTTGTCTAGGGCAGAGGCTAGAGTCTAAGTTGCCCCATACTAAAATAAATCCCTTCTGTGTTGGGCGCATACTTTCTCCAAGAAAGAAATTTATGGACCCCTGACTAGCTACTGCAGACGCTGTGGGGAGGCCAGCAACTGTGAATACAGAAGCATCCACCCTGGCTGCCCCGAGACGGCCCTCCCAGAATCCTGAGCTTTGGAAAGCCTTCTGAGCCCTGCTGGGGTACTGCAGCCCTCAGCTAACAGCGCTGAAGCCCAAGTGAGGGGGTAAATTAAACTTCATCCTGTGTGGGGGCAAAGATCTCTGATCCCCGACCCATCACACAGGGACTCTAAAGGCCCCCGCAGATGGACGCTCCACGCCGTTCCGGAGCTGGATGAGCACACCCAGGAGAAATGCTAGAAAAGAGGGGCTGAGCTCCAGTTCTCCCTCCCCAAGCAGGACCCTCCAGCTGGCCCAGCCCTTGCCCTCAAACAGGACATTCGTCAACGCTGCTGCGCCAGGCCTGCTCCACGCTGCAGCCCCCGCCCCCTCCCCGCAGCGTCTGGACTCCCGGCTCCCGGCTGATTTATTTTTTCTGCCAATTTCCCCGAGCTATGCAGAACCAATTACCGCCGGAGCGCCACGGCACCGCTCTGGCAGGCCCTCGGCGCGCTGCGTCTTTCCTGTTATTTTTTTTAATTGAATTTTTAGGGTGGGGGGAGCGGGTGCGCGAGCTCCATCTCGGGGAAACTTAAGCCCCGGGGCCCGTCTCAGGTCACGTACTGCACACCCTGTGGTAATATAATATTTACTGCCCCGAGGGTGCCGCGGACGGCAGCCCCGGGCCGGCGGCAGCGGGTGGAGGCCTTGCATGGTGGGGTGAGGGGCCCTGGTGCGCAATGGAGCAGAGGGCTAGAGAAGGCCAGTCAAGGTCAGAAAACAGGGAGGACCCTCCAGCAGACCACCCAACCCAAACTCCGCAAGACCAGCCAAGCACTGTCCTTACCCCTCACAAGATGCCCTGGCTCTTTCTCGCCCGCAGGGAAGTCCAATACAGGGGTACAGAAAGGAGGGAGTCTGAGGAGGAGATGGCATCCCTAGCCCTCCCTACAAATGGGAGGTGGGCCACATAACCCGGAGCAGAGCTGCTCACCAAGTCACCACCTGTCCCTGGGGACCAAGTTGGTGACTGTACCAGGGCCAGTCCCCTGGAGAGTGAGCTGGCGTCCCTCTTGAGTTGAGCTACAGGTTGAGTCCAAAAAGATGACCCTTCCCCAACTTGGCCTTCTCCTGAGGAGAAACTGAGGCAGCCTGCCATCCCCTACAGGAGCAGCCTGGGAGTTTTCCCTGGAAAAAGCGGCCCTGATCTGCACCTTCAGGGCTGACCGGAGCTACTCCTGTGCAGAATGCTAGGAAGGGCTTTGCGTCTAATGGAACAGCATGACGGCCAAAAGTAATGCACAGAGGCAAGGGGTGCATGATGGGGTGGGGAGGGTCCAACAAGCCGGCAAGACTCCGAGGGATGAGGGCTATGAGGCGCCCTGTGGGGAAAACAGTCCTCTCCAGGATGCCAACTGGAAACTGGGGAAGAGAGGGTGAGAAAGGAAGGGTGTGTGGCTGGGCTGGGGAGGAGAGGGGAGAGGAAGGCTGTGTGAGCCGCTAGAGTTTGTGCTGTGATCTCTGAAGGTGGTGGACCTGTGGAGACAGGAGGAGACAGGCGATGGAGATGACATGTGTCAGGCATGTGTGGCCTGAGACACAGCCTGGACCAGCTGACAGGGCAGACACACGAAGAGGAGAAGCAGTGAGCCCAGAGATCAGAGAAGACGGCTTGACTGCGTGGAGCAGGGGGAGGAGGTAGGGAAGGGCCCTGGCTGGAGACAGTAAGGCTGATAGTAAGCAATCAGCCCTAATCAGCCATGACACCTGCTCATGCTGAAGTCTCAGGCAGCATGGTTCCCTCAGGTAGTTCCCAAAAGGATGGATCTGGAGTCCCTTCCCTGAAGATCCCATCAGACCCTGAGAGGATGGGAACTCACCCCCAGCCCCGTCTAGGCTCCTGTCCTGGCTGATGCCCCCAGAGGCCTGGGCATCTTCCTACCCCCAGGAGAGTGACAGAAGAGCCTGGCTTGGCAGAGTGTTTCAGATAAATCCTCCCTGAGAGAGCACTGAGGACAGCCTGGGACCAAGAACCACAGCCTCCAGTGACCCAGCACCTCAGACTTGCCAGGGATTGGGTCCCACCCGTTTCCAAACTCCCAGCCCCACAAATTCGCCTGTTCCACCCCACAACTGCCATGAGCAGTACTTCGGAGACCCATGTTCCGCCAGCCTCTGTCCCTGAAGTGGCATCACTGGGCACAGTAGTCTCTCTGTAGGCATGGCCAGGGTGCAGGATGCTCTGTGAAGGTGCCCCACCCTGGGGCCCCTGCAAGCTGATTGTACCCCCATGTGCCCCTCCAGCACCCTATTCCTTCCACCTCCAGACCAAGACCAGCTTCCCGATGCCTCATCACTCCCACTCTGCTTTCCTCCTGCCAAACCCCTCAGAGAATGGCCCCAAAGCGCACCCAACTGTCATGGCCTCAGCTAGGTAATCATACTGGGTCTTTCCTGGGCCCCCAGTTCTATCTGTGACTGAGTAACACAAGGACACTCTTCCACTTACTTGACACGTGAATCTGGGTGTGTCAATCAGTCCCTGTGTACCTCAGTTTCCTTATCTGGCCCTCAGAGAATGGCATGATTAGAGGTTTATGATTAGTGAAGACACACAAACTTCCCAAAATCTGTGCTCCCCTGAGCCCCCTCGACACCCACCCTCCCCAGCATCTTTACCTTAGCTGCCTGTATCTTAGGTCACTTACCGGTCCTGGGTCTCCTCTCTCATCACCCTGAAGCTACAGCAAGCAACTGATCCAGGGGGCTCCTTCCTCAACATACCCAAGCCTGAGCTTTCCTTGGTAGAGCCCCCCAAACCTGCCCTGCATCAGCTGTCCTTGGTACCCCTGCAGACAGCAGGCATTTCAGTACTACATGCCGTGGTCCTGGCAGCCTCCTCTCCACTTGCTACCCTACCATTTCCACCAGGCATCTTTCTTCGGGAAGATTCCCCTGTCAGAGGCATCTGCCCTGAGTTCCCACAGACCCCACTTCTCACTCCCTGTCATATCTAGAGGGCTCAAGTGGCACTCTTACCAATACAGCTGGGCCTGAGCTGGTTTCAGGAGGGTATGGAGAATGGAGGCATGGCCTGCCTGGGGCAGGGCAGGGGGGCGCTGTTCCTTTGGGAACACTTGATCTGCTGAAGGCACCCTTCATAAGCAGGGTACGCAAGTGCCTAGGCACCACAGTTACGCATCTCTTGCGGTGAGGGCATTTCTCTGATCCCTTCAACAGGGCTTTCTAGCTGGCCTGAGAGAGGAGAAGATGGGGTTGGGGTGGGGGGTGGGGGTGGCAACCTTCATACTGAACCCCATAGAATGCAGAAGAGTGGCTATGACCAAGTCCATTTCATAGCTGAGAAACCAAGGCCCGAAGAAGCGGAGCTACCAAAAGCGCCCAGACTGTGGTGAGGGGTGGGCTTCCTTGCATCTGTCACTGGGGTAACCACACTTCCTGTTACTTAATCCTCCTCACAGTGCCAGTCTTATGTTGATCAGATATGGTTAAGAAGTCATTCTTCAGGCCAAGTTCAACTTCAAAGCCCCCTTCGCAGTGACTAACCCTAGGCCTCCTGGATGTGGAAGAGACGCCGAGGTGAGCCCCGTCTGCTGACCCGCATTCCCATTCTCCCTCACTCCCAGGCCCCCCTTTCCTGAAGTTGACAATCAGCCATGTGCAGTAGAAACCTAAACAGAAACCATGGTCCCCGACAACATGGCCTTGGGGGAAGGAGGGGTGCCCCCACCCCAGCTTCTCCTGGAGATTCCATCAGGGAGCTATGAGGTCGGGGATCAGACACACAATGCTTCCCATTCAGGTAAGCCGGTCGCCCAGCCCACAGCTGCTGCTGCTGCTGCGGGGAGATTTATGACCTGTTCTAAACGTCACCTTTTCAACTCCCAGTGCCGACTCCACCACCTCTGGGCTCAGCACTGGCCAGACTGCTGGCCAAGCGTGGCTGGGAGACGTGCCTCTGCTCACCACCACACACGAACACTCCCGGGGAGACAGCGTCGTCGGCTGAGCTAGGAGAGGCATCTGAGGGTGCCAAGTACCCCCTACCTGCAGTCTGCAAGGAGCTCCTCTGTCAGTTGAGCCACCAGGGCGTCCATGTCCTCGGAGGAACACTGTGCCTTCAGAGCCAGGTGGACCTGCTCCAGGCTAGCTTCCTGTGGAACAGGCAAGCCTAGGTCAGGAGTGTCACCATGGAAGGGGACCCAACCCCCAGGCTCTGTCCCTGAGCCAGAAGGGAATAGATAATAGGAACAAGACAAAGCAAATCCAGACACAATCAATCTGCCAGCACCTTCCAGGACTCCCCACCCGGACCCTCAACCTCGGAACCCCAGTCTCACACATGGCCACAGGGGGTTCCCTTGCTAGTTAGAACTTCTTCCTAGCCTGAATGCATCCTGTACCAGCTGCCACCCTGAGGCCAGGCCTGACTCCCCACAGGGGAGTGGATCTCTCTGAGACTCCTCTGTCCAGGCCTGACCCCCCCAGAGGGGAGTGAATCTCTCTGAGACTCCTCTGTCTGTCCTTATCCTTTCTGGAGTCAGCCACACAGCCAGATCCGGAGCTAACCAGTCTCCTCCAGCAGCCATGGAGCCACCACTGGGCATAAGGACCAGATTCTCAGAGCTGGTTCTCTTGGGCCTTCATCTGATCTTCTTCTCTGGCACTTCTCTGGGCACTGTCCCTAGGCCTCAGCCCTGAGCTGGAAGGCAGAGGCCAACCTTGAAATACCTGTCAGGCCCAAGGCTGCTTCAGTGCCCCAAGCAGCCCTCTCCATGCATCAGCCTTCCTGAGCATGTGACATGTGCTCCACCCTGAGGGAAAACCCTAAGGAGAAAACGCAGGCCCTGCTGTGGGGAACTGCGACCTTCTGGTGGGATAACGAGGAGTAGCGTGGAGGGCGGGACAGGGACAGCACAGCCTCTAACTCCAAGTTCCCCATCACCACCAACTGCCAGTTTCTAGGACATCAGCCCTTCCTCGCCTTTCTGCCTCCTCTCCAATTGTGCTCCTCAGTCATCCCCAGGCCTCTTCACCCTCCTCCCCGCTGCTGCCCCTCATTCCTGCCCTGTAGCCATTCTGGCCTCCCTCGGGTGATGCTCCGTGGTAAGGAGCCCAGAGCCACTGCCTGAACCAGCAGCTTCCCAGCATCCTTCTCCCCTCCCTTAACTCTACACCTGAGCCCTCTCGAGACTCTTGTGCATGCCTTGTCCAAGCACCAGGCAGACCTGAAAGTGCAGAGAGGTTCCCAGAACCCTCTCCTCACCCCCAAAGCAGAACTACTCTGTCATCCAAACACTGTTCCTCTCCCCAGGTTCCCAGCTTTGAACCCCAGATCATTTCTCTCAAAGCCCTTCATCTCCCCAAGACGAATGTATCAAGGCCAGGCAGCTCAAGTTCCACAAACTCCCTAAAAAGCCGCCTTCCTCCCAGGACCTTCTGGGACTGGGACTCACCCTCCCCTGAGTCCTTGCCATGATATCCTAGGTGGGGACCTCTTCTACATCTTCCCATTGTCCCCATGACATCCTCTTGATGCTCCTTAGCTGCTCCCCTCCATATTCCACACCTCTCCCTCAGCACCCATGAATGCCACCAGGATCTAAGTTTGGAGCTCTAGCATCTGGCTTCTGGCTGGAAGTTTCTGGCGAAACTATTGTATGTGGTATCAGAGTCAAGAGGCATCTAGTAATAAGCACCGGGCATATCCTGACACCCCAGCTATCTCTCAGCTCTCTGTCCCTCAGTCATCCCACATCCACCTGGGGTGAGCCCAGCACCCTTCATACCCCATCTTCTCTACAAGTCTGCAGATATTTCTGGCAGGGTTAGAGGCCAGGCACCAGGTCTGGACAGGATCGCACTCACCAGCCGGTCAGCGATCCGCAGGAGCTGATTTTGAGTCTCAATTCGATGGCTGATGTCTTCCCAGTATGAGGACAGCACCACCACTGGCTTCACGTTGCCCCAAGGCAAGTAATAGTAGTGGCACCCTGCAGGGAGGGGAGAGGGGCCTGAGCACTGTGCAGAGGCCCGGGGCGGTGGAACACGGCTCTGCAAAGCATGGTGCTCAGGCCACTGGGCTTTCAGAACTGGCCCAGCTTGAGAGAGGACTTAAGATAGACAGGTCCTACTCTCCTCGCCCCTTAGATGCTTGTGGTATGGCTGGTAGTCCCCAGTACACAGACAAGGTACCTGAGTACACTTTGTGGGGGAACAGACTGCTGTGGCTCTCCCATCAAAACGAGAGGGCTGATAGACAGAATGCCCTGGCAAACCCGAGTTCACATCTCCAAGGTCTCCAAGTCAAGCCCCCACACCCCATGTGTTGATGGAGGTGGTTCAGGACCAGGGCAACTGCAGAGCCTGTAGGAGCCCATCCTATGGGTACAGCGGACCCCCCCAAGAGGAATATGAGGGGCAGCACAAGAAGTAGAAGAGGTTTGGTGTGGTTTCCATGGAGGCAGGGTTTAGGGAATGGTGTCTACCCTATGACCCGGGTCCCTTCTGGCCTCACCCACCATCGAAGACTGCTCGGCTGTACTGGGTGGTGGAGGCCAGTGGCAGGCAAGTGGTGTCGAACTTGTTTCCGTAGTTCCCAATGCTGACCTCGAACTGGATGGCGTCATCCACATCCTGCAGCATTGTGGCTGAGTAGAAGGCAGCAAAGAGGGAATATTTGCGCCTCCGGAGGTACTTCTGTGGGCAGAGTGAGCAGGTCAGAGGTCACAAGGAGACACGCAAGATACCCAGCAGGGCGGATCCCATAGATGTCAGGCCCCAGCCATGACCAGGACCCAGAAATTCCTGGCTGGGAAGAGAGTGTCTGATGGTCCAAAGGAACAGCTTCCAGACTTGGTTACTGACTGAACAAACTCATTCCAGGTCCACGCGCATTCGCTCATGTTTCTTAACAATCTGCTCCTCCAAGGTCAGGCTGTTCTTTAATCCAAACCAGCATCAATGGCACCACCATGTCCACAGAGCAAGGTCTCCCGCAGTGTCCCTCAGGGCAGCCTATACCTCATCTGCCCCTTAAAGGAGCTGAAAGCTCTCAACAGTCATGCACCACCCAGACACACACACACACACACACACACACACACACACACACACACACACACACACACACACACACAGGAAACCCTGCAGTTGGCTTAGACAGCCTCAACCATGTGCTCAGAATATTTAGTTCAAATTGGCCTCTCCAAGCCCAAGGCACAGGGCTGAGACAGCGTAAAACATCCATGTGTCTTGGCATGAAAATTACATGATTCTAGCTGGGCGGTGGTGGCGCACACCTTTAATCCCAGCACTTGGGAGGCTGAGACAGGCAGATCTCTGTGAGTTCGAGGCCAGCCTGGGCTACAAAGCGAGTTCCAGGACAGGCACCAAAACTACACAGAGAAACTCTGTCTTGAAAAACCAAGAAAAAGAAAAGAAAATTACATGACTTTATAGTCACCTCCTTGGAAAGCTGAGGAGAAAAAAAGGAGCCGAAAGGCTGAGTTTTGAAGCATGGGAATGGTGATGACAGATAACACTTACTATGTACCTACTGTGTGTACATGTCCAGCCTTACCATTTGCCTACTGTGTGCCTACATCAAGTCCCTTTTCACCACCATCTCCTAAAGTAAACATGACTCCAGACAGGGGAACTGAGGCAAATGGCAGGTAGGAGGGCCAGCATGGAAACCAGACGTAACTAACTTCAGTGTCCAAAGGATCCTGGAGAGCATGCACTGCTCTGAAGGTTCTTAGAGTCTTCATCCATATGTGGGGTTAACAACAGCTACCTGGTGGCATGCTGGGCTTGAAGACGTCAGTGGTAAATGGTGTTGAACTGATCATGGCGGGCTGTTCCCATGGAACCCTTACAAAACAGTGTTCTACTTTGCATCAAGCTCTGAGTTTCTGTAATACTTTCATTTATCTCCCCTAAACCTCAAAGCATCCCCGGGGTGGGGTATTATACTTTTCCCACCTTACAGTTGAGACACAGGGGCCCTCAGAAGTGTTGCCATAGTAAATGTGGAGCAGAACTGAAGAAGGCCCTCTACCACAGTCCTTAGCTACCTTGTCCCTACTTCCAGCAGGGAACCAGCTCTCTCCCAGAGCCATGTCCTCACCTCCACACGCAGGATATCATCAGCAGGAAGGTCTTCCACCTTCTGCTCACTGTGCTCCACCAGTCTGGTCTCTAGAGACAGCAGAAGCCTGCCTCGGTAAGCCACACCTTCTCCCTGCAAGAGAAAGTCGGGTCGCCAGCAGAGGGGTGAGGGGTGGGGAGCACAACACGTGACCACATAATATAATTCACCCCTACAGAATGGGGATGTACCAATCCTCCTCCTGAGAGAGATGGGCCTGGGTGTCTCGGGATGGAGACAGTGAACAGGTCCATCTGGCCCAGGAGAAAGAAGTCAGAAGGCCTAACAGAAGGAGGTGCTTGGAGAGGTCTGTTCAGGCCTCGTAAGGCCCAGTGAATATCACCTGGGCCCAGACACTGCCAGGCCAGCCTGGAGACCCTTAGGGCATGCATGTGGCTGCTCACCTTTCCTGTGTTGAGCTCTGCATAAGGGTCTGGGAAACCCGTGAACTCCCGGGGACTGCCGTAGAGGTTCACATAGCAGGGGCCAAAGGTGGGGAGGAAGCCCAAGTTGTCATCCACTGGAAGATACAAGCAGGTATCAGAGAGGTGGCCCTGGAGATCTTTCTAGGGTTCAACCCAGCCACCTTCAGATCTGATCCCATCTCCAGCCCTCAGTTTCCTCCACATGCACCAGGTGTGGCCCCTGTGCATGTACAACTAGTAATACACTAGCAATGACTATAATCAACTCCGTTCCGTCTCTTGAGGACTCAGTATGCCGAAACGAGGCTATTTCTATTATGTTATTAGTCCTATTTCACAGATGAGGGAACTGAGGCTCAGAGATGTGACCGATCACAGGCTAGCAAGGAGACAGGACCCAAATGGTGCAACACACTCAGCTGGCTGAACACTAGCGGTTGCTCAAGCCTTTCCTCTCAGGCTATGGGGGAGGAGGAAGAGAGGTGATCCAGAGTCCAGTGACCAGAGAAGCTATGTCCCGGGGATCCCTTCCTCCTCACACACACACATTTGTTGTGGCAGTGGGGAGTAGGAGAACGGATAAAGGGATCAGTCCTGTCTTGTCATCCCCATCTTCTGGGAGATGTTCTCTTGACAAGGTCACAGCTGCCCTTCTGGGGACAAGACCTCACTGGCCAGACTCTGAAACCCTGCAAAGGCAGGGTATTCCTTTCAAAGGACATTTCCAAAACGCTCAAGGTAGAACCTCTGCCGGGCCTGTCTGGGTGTCTCTGTCCGCACAAGGATGAGCCAGGGAAAGGGGCTTCCAGGGAGGCCTGTGCAGTAGGCCATGATGCTGTACACTCTAAGTCACGTTGCCGAGACAGCGCAGGAAGGCGGGGGCAGCTGGAGCTGGCCTGCACATCACCTTTCCACATATTTCCTCCTCCAGACCTCAGAGCAGACAGAGCTTGGCTTTGGGAAGCAAAGGGGGAAGCCTTGGAACGATGGGACTCGGGGAACACTACTAACTACCTGGGTCAATCATCACAATTATGATTTACCTTGTGAATTATGGGTCAAGCATTTCTCATTCCCCTGGCCACCTACAGATCTCCAAGACACCTCACAATCCCCCTGTCCCATTATTTCCCCCGTGTTGGAAGCATCAGCTGAGGCGACAAGCTTAGAACGGGTCTGGGAGAGCTAGAGGAACTGGCCTTAAAGCACCAGTGGCTGAGACTTGCCAGTGGTCAACTCGGGGGCCTGGCTGCAGTTCAGTTCCCCCTCATGCAAGTCAGAAAATTCCCCTCCAGCAGGAACCCCAAGGTCCCATCCCCTCATAATCCCCTAAGTGACAGCAACATACGGTCAGTGGCTTTCGGAGGCTTGAGTACACCTGCCGGCTCCTCTGAAGCATAAAGAAATGGAAAAGAGGTTAGGATGGGCTAGGCTTGGTGGAGAATGGTTACATGAACTGGAGCCTGGATGGAGAGCTGGCAGACAGACACTGAGAATGTACAACAAAGGAAGGCACACACCCTGCCCCCCAACTCCAACCAGGCGGCCCTCACCACCTCCGTGACCTGAACCTCCATTCAACATACTCAAGAAACAACACACAGAGGAAAATGTGCTTTTTCCACGTTATATACAGGTAAATTAGGAGGAATGGTGCAGAGAAAGGAACATGAAAAGGGAAACATGAAAAGAGCCCTTGTGGGCAAGGAACCACCCTGGGCTCCAAATATCAGATTGACACTTAGGACCCAGCACACTGAGCCAAGGCCATTCAAGGCACAACATCTCCACCTCGTGGAAATTTTTAGTATTGCAACAGATGGCAACTCTTTTTCTCAATAGAAGCCACCTAGGTCTGGCTTTTAGCACCAGCGATTTCCAGGGAAGATAAGAGACAGGTGTTGTCCACTAGCACATGCACCTACACATATACATGCACATGCATTAAGTATATGTAATAAAAATATCTTAACCCTTTTATTTTCCCACAGATTCATGATGTTTGCTAGGAGCTGCAGAGGATGTTCAATGAACATGCAGCCCAGAATGGCTTATTACGCTTCACTGTCATTCAAAACCAATGTATTTGTTCTCTCAGAACCCTGAGGCTGTGGCTTGGGCACGCTGGGTTTAATGTAGCTTGGGGTAATTCTTCATCCAATGTGGCCCAGAGAATCCAGCTTGGACACCTCTGGAAGGCTCAAAAAAGGAGTGTGGAGGAAGAAGAAGCTACAGATATGGGAGTCTGGAGGTAAAGCCAGGGCTGGAGAAGTGAGGCCAAAGGCCAAGAGGGCAAGGCCCTGGGCTGGCCCTTAGATCTCTACATCCAGGTATCGGCTACCACTGCTGGCTGGCAAGAATCAGTGGGACAGAGACGGTACCCTGTGAAGATTCTCCTGTCTATGGGAATTGAGCTGAGTCCTTGGCACAGGAGAGCTCTCAGCCTGGCAGGGTGACCCGCACAGGCACATCCATGGGCCCCAGATTCTACTTTAAGCTCCTTCCAAATAGTGCTCAACAGGAGGAACCCGTTATCTTTAACTAATGAAGCCAGGGTCATAGATGTGACCCCTGGGTGCTTCTTGCCAGAGACTGACTTTTAATCTGGCAGCCAGTCAGAGACAGTTGTCTACCAGTCCCACCAGCCAGCTACCGACACCTGCTGCTGGTGGCTGGAGAACAGAGCAGGCCTCCTTGTTCAATTGTGTATTCGTTCATTTAAGAACTACAAACAGGTATCGTAGTGGGCCTTGGCATGGCCCTGCTGACATCTTAAGCCAGTGCTTCCCAACTTGAGAACCCGTCACAAGCCTCCGATGCCGTGGTTCACCCCAGGTTCTCGCCCCTGTGTCTGCAGACAGCTCATAAAGTCAAAGGCAGGGTGAGCAGAGAAGCTACCCGACACAAAGCCTCTATTTAGTCCTGGCCGTCTTTCTGGCAAAACACAAGTGTTTCGCTGTGTTTTCCCTGAGCCTGGAGAACTGGGCCCAAGGAAGCCCCAAGTCCCAGATGAACACGCCCAGCTTTTCACTGTGAGCTTGAGGCCCAACTCCCTCACCTGGGTGAACTGGAAGGGAAAGAGCAGGCTGCCAGCCACAAGTCACAGCTGAGGAGGCGGTCCCTGGGGACACGTGTGTACCCTGGAGAAGCCAAGCCATTACCTTCACCAGCCCTGCCAACTCCCAAGGCTCGGCAGAGCCCCAAGCCCATGGCTTTGGCTGCCTGACACCCGCCTGGGCAGCCTGGGCCAGGCAGGAGGGGAAAGGAGCGATGGCTGGGAAACTCACCGTCAAAGACAACTTTGGTTTTTCTCAGTGCTGGTCTGTAGCATGATGTTCATATGGGTGAAGGTGTCAGAGATGCCTGCAAGTGTCACAGGTCCCACATGCCTACTACCTTTCTAAAGAACTGCCACATCTAAGGAGACTGCACACTCCGTTTTTTAAACAAAAACAAAGTCTTCCTGAATACACTGGTGTACAGGGTCCAAGGAATACTTCAGTGTGCCCAGGCAAACTTGTGGGTAAAAGTGCTTAAGAGGTAGTGTTAGGTCTTGTCCTTGCTGGGGACAAAAAAACAAGAACACAAAAACAAAACTCCAAGCTGAACCAAATCATCTGGAACATCAAGGTAGGAGGAGAGAGGAAGAAGTGGGTTTCGTTTGATGGGTTTGTTGTTGTTGTTGTTGTTGTTGTTGTTGTTGTTGTTGTTTTGAGATATGGTCTCAACTAGTTAGCCGAGGAGGGTCTCATACTCACTGTATAACCAAAGATGATCTCGAACTTCTGATCCTTCCAACTCTACCTCCCAAGCACTGGGCTACCAGGGACATGCCACTGTGCCCTGTTTGTTCGGTGCTGGGAATGGGACCCAGGGCTTCCTGCACGCTGGCCAAGCGCTCTACCAGCTGGGCTCCATTCCCAGCCCAGATTCAATTCTACAGTACAGTTTGTGTTGTGTTTTGGGAGAAACAAGAGAATAAGGTAGTGTGCCATCCCACCACAGTAAGAAGAAATACAAAAGAGAAGAGAGGAATGTGGCAGGGACATGTTTCAAGCAGGGCTTCCAGGCTAGGGAAAGAAACTTAGCCAGGAGCGAGGCACATGACACCCTTCAAACCAGACAGATCTTCCACCTGAGAAAGGGACCCACCTCTATAGGAAGGAGCTTCAGAGGACCTGGGAAGTCCCGAAGAATAACCCAGTTTGATCAACAAAGTTAACTCTGCTGTCACGTTGATTTAGCTACTTTGCTGCACATTCCAGAAGTAGTTAGCTGGGTGTAAGAACAGCCAGGGGTCCGGCCTTTGACTCCACCTCGAAGCACATTAGGTTGCTCATGACTTGAGCGCCATCTAGTGACCATGGGAACAACTTTCTCACCTCATTAAACCAGGGTGATGGGAGGCTGGATACAGGGCACAGTGGCAGTGTATTTGCTATAAGCATGCCCGAGGCCCTAAATTTAATTCCCAGTGCAATAAACAAGTGAGTAAGTAAATAAATAACTGATATGATAAAAAAAAAAGAAGGCCAACATCATACCAAAAATAAAGGCTGATGGGGTTGGGGTAGGGCCTAAACTCTCATCAGGTTGCTGAGGACAGACACAGCTGTATCATATCAGAAACTTTCCCCAAAAAACACTCAAAAATGTCATACTGTGCCTTGACCATCATCAGTTCCTGTATTCAGAGACAGAGACAGTACCCAGTCTGAAAACTGAGGAAGACTCGTGACATCCAGGGTGGCCAGAACTTCCTGGGCATCACCCACATCAGACACTGTCCCTGTCTCGGTGCTTCTGCCTGTATGTGCAAAGCAACACCACACCAAACCCCTGACCAGCTCCCTGGGGGTGGGGACTACACCCTGGGACAGAGTCCTCACAGCTGGGAGGCGGGGATATTCCCAACAGCAGAACCTTCTAGAAGTATGTCTGTATGTGTTGAATGGCTCAAAGCATCAGTGATGGAGTCAGAATGACAGATCAGCACTAGACACTGAGGGAAGGGTGTCGAGGAGTTCACTGGATGACTCTAAACGTTGGTGTGTATTTGAGATTTTCGGTAACCAGAAGTCTTTGGGGACGGGGGATATAACTCAGCTGGCAGAGTACCTGCCTAGCATGCATGAAGCCCTGTGTTCAGGATCCCACACTACATCAACCTGCATGGTGGTACATGCCTGTAACCCCAGCACTTGGGGGCCTGGAGACAGGAGGATCAGAAGTTGAAGGTCATCCTAGGCACACAAGTGAGATCAAGGCAGTCTGGTATACATGAGACCTTGCCTATAATAATAATGATGATGATGATGATGATGATGATATGATGATGATGATAACAATAATAATAACAATAATAATGTCAAGTGTCGTGATATATATGCCTTTAATCCAGGCACTCAGGAGCCCGAGGCAGACACATCTCCAAGAGTCTGAGGCCAGCCTGGCTTCCTCTGACCACTGTACACCAAGGCACCAGAAGAGCTTCAAGTTCCAGGTCCACCAGGGCTACACAGTGTGACTCTGTCTCCAAAACTATTTTCTTTTGAAATATGTTTCAGAGGAGTTAAAAGAAGGCATGAGAGAGCCCTGGGGATGAGGCACGTGAGCCACCAAAGCTGCAGAGTGGCAGAGGCATAGAGCCCCGCCCTGCCTGTGTAACACCCTTACTGAGCATTTCTCATTAGAAAGTGAATGGCCGTGAGAGGGGCAGACCACCAGGCCGGACTCTGCTACCTATGAAAGCCTGCATCTTAGAGCAGGACAGAGTACCTCCAATCAGAGACACATCCATAAGGTTCAGGAGAGTCTCCATTTGTAATAGTTTGGGATTCTCAAGTTCAGGCAAGAAGACAAGGAGATGCAGCCTTTTGGGATAACTTCTGTGGGGAGACAGACTGGGGCAAAGAGGAACAGAATTGATGGGGGGAAGGGGCGGGGAGAATGGATGGATGGTCCTGCGGGTGAGATAATGACTTAATACCTGACTGCCTCTGATCACTGAATACCAGACATCAGAGGAGCGGAAGTGGGTAATTCCCCAAGAGGAAAGAAGCCAAGGAGCCCCACTTTATAGAGAGGAGACTGAGTGACTCTTCTGCTTACAAAGAACTTGAGCCCCAGCTGGCTGCAGAACCAGAGTTCTCAGCACTACCCTACCCCACCTTCAGCTGTCTGAGGTAGAGGCTGGAATAAAAGTCATTCAACTCAAGACTCCTATCTCAGATAAAATTCAACCAAGAATTACTGGGTGGTGGTGGTGGTGCACACCTTTAATCCCAGCACTCAGGAGGCAGAGCCAGGTGGATCTCTGTGAGTTCAAGGCCAGCCTGGTCTACAGAGTGAGATCCAGGACAGGCACCAAAACTACACAGAGAAACCCTGTCTTGAAAAAACAAAAACAAACAAACAAACAAATTCAACCAAGAATTCACAAAGGGTGTCCTGGCTAACCCTGGGCTTCCAGTACAACAGTGGCCCCATAGCGATGTCACGTTGTCCCAGTTCCGTGAGCACACTCAGCAATGTTCACACAACAGGATCATTAAGGAACGCTTTCTTGGAACTTACAGATAAATGCTGCCTGATCAGCGTCTTCTAGATGCATCCGGAATCCAGTCAGATTCCCACACAGGAAGCCAACCAGACTTTTCTCAGAAAATACACCAAAACAAATTCAAAGTGTATTACATATGGAAGGGGGAAAATAAGTTTTAAAAATAAAGTCAATAAAGATTTGGGATACAGTTTATCTGGCAAAGTGCTTGTCTAGCATGCACAAGATTCTGAGTTACTTCACTGGCATCACACAAACCAGGTATGTGCTACGCACTTGTGTCCCAGAACTTCAATACTTGGAAGGTGGAGGCAGGAGGATCCAGAGTTCAAGGTCATCCTTGTCAACATACCAAGTTCAAGCCCAGCCTAGACCACATGAGACCCAACTCAAAAAGGAAAAAAGGTAAAATAAAACCTAGAGGTTCACCAAATATTTATACATGGCCTATAAAGTAGAAACCATACTTTTGTTATTTAAATAAGAAAACTTTAAAATAAACATAAGCTAGTTAAAAATTTGACAAGGAAATAGTAAAATAAGTCTAAACAGAGCTAAGCAGCCCAGAACTGAAATGTCCAACGAAGTTTTTGTTTTAAAGGCTGAGCAGCTAATTGAGGGAAAAGAAGAAAATTCAAACACAGTAAAGAAGAGACGGCCCAGGCCGAAGAAAGTGCCCAAACTCTAGAAGTCACTGTGAGAAACATTGTAAACATATTTTAAAGACTCAACGTAATGCAAGTTTTTCTAGAAAAATATAAATGGTCAAAACTGACAAGAGCAAAAATAACACCCTAAAAATAGCAATGATCATAAGAGAAACTGAAAAGTTTATAAAGAGTCATCACTACACCCACTCAGAAAGGGCACCAAGCCCACATGGTTTTATGGGTGAATTACTTCAAACCCTCAAAAGACTACATTCTATGTTATATAAACTGTTCCCAGATGTTGGACTTTCAGTCTTTCCGATTAATTTTACAGAGGCAGCATAACCCAGAAACCGACAGCAAGCATTAATAAGAAGGCCACAGAAGATAATAGAAAAGCAAGGGCTGAACTCAAGAGAACTTAGGACGCGAGAAAGACGGCACTTGGAGACGTAGGAACAGATCAGTCAAAACACATGCGGACATCACCAAAAGACAGTGTGGAGGAGGTGACGGTTAGGTCACAGTCTTACTAACTAAGAGAGTAGCATGTTTGGCTACAAAAAAATTTAATTCCTACCTGTCAGAGAGTATTCAAATATAACTGGTAAGAATTACTTAAGAGCAAGCTCAAAGTTAGTGCCCACAGTCATAGAGAACAGTAAGACAAATATACCTGCAGGAATGTGTGTTTATAGCAGAATAACTACAATATATATTGTATATAATATATATATCAAAAGTTCAAAATGTACACAGTTGGCCCACTTCTCTAAGCCTCAATGAAATGAAAAAATTCATTTTTACCTTCAAATTAACAAAATTCTCTTTGTTATTGTTTTGGGGATTTTGTTGTAGTTTGGTTTGGTTGGTTTGATCTTCTGAAGGAGGGTCTCTTGTAGCCCAGACTGCCCTTAAATTCACTTTGTAGCTGAGGATGGTCTCGAACTCCTGATCTTCCTGCCTCCCCCTCCCGAGTGCTGGCATTTCTGGCGTGCACCACCACTCTTCTCTCCAGTATTATTTTAGCCATGTTGAAACAGTGTCACATCGAGTGTATGGAAGTTTCTGACAGTAAATTAGTTCGGCCTTCTTGACAGGCAACTTCAGTATTGACAGAAGGTCTTAAAAGTGCTAAAATCCTTTGACAGCATTGACTTTAGACTTATGTTGGGGGGCTTGAGAGCAGGGGGTGCAGCTCAGTGGTAAAGCACTTGTTCAGCACATCTGAGGCACTGAGTTTGATTCCCAACAGCACAAACCTAATTTTTTATTGTTTCATTTTTGTATGTATGTATTTTCCTGCATGTATGCGTGTACACCGCATGCATGCAGGTACCCTCAGAGGCCAGAAGAGGCTATCAGGTCCCTTGGAACTGGAGTTACAGGCAGTTGCGGGCAGCCTATTGTGGGTGCTGGGAACCAAGTCCTGGCCTTCTGCAAGAGCAGCAGATGGTCTTGATCTCTGTGCTATCTTTCCAGACCTGTGTTTTTGTTGTTGCTGCTGCTGCTGTTGTTAACTATGTACAGCATGGAACTCAGCTATAAAAACACTCATTGCAAAGTTAGTTATAAGGTAGAAAAATCAGAAGATGCCTGAATACTCCATATTAACTAGTTCATTTGATTATGTACACTCACAATGGAACGTATATTTATTACAATTGTATCCTATGGGCTAGGGATGTAACTCAGTTGATAGAGTGTTCAGCTGTCATGTGCAAGGCCATGAGTTCAATCCCTAGCACTGACAAAAAAATATGTGTTCTAGAAGAATACTTAATCACAAGAAAAGACCTCAGTCTAGTATTGCCAAGAGACAAAAAGCAATGATCAAACAACTCATGTTAATGTATACAGGTATGTATCATGCTCGTGTGTGTGTGTGTGTGTGTGTGTGTGTGTGTGTGTGTGTGTGTGTGGCATGTGTGTCTTTCCCAAGGATATCTTTTTTGCCTGCAGTGATGAACTGAAGGGTATCTCATAGGTAAATGTCAATCTTCTTTCAGATCTAATTATTTGTTTACAAACTGATAATGGGTTACATTTTAGTAGACCAACAAAATCCATTGAAAAATAAGAATCACTGGGCACTCATGGCCAGAATAGAACCCAGCACGTGGTGCCCCCCTACAGGACTGAGGGGACCCCCTTTAGACTATCCAGTGTGTACCCCCCACTCAGAGTGTAGCACCCTAAATGTCTGTAAGTGAGCCATCACTGGAAAATGGATCTCCCTTAGCCTGCAGGCACTCAAACCTTAAGATAGAGGGAGGTGGGCCGGGAGAGCTGGGAGCAAGTGGGACATACCTTCTATTTCTCCTCCTGGGGCAGAGATTTTCGACATTCCCAAGTAGGTGGTGGCCACAGTGTCATTGTGAGTGAGGCGGTCCCTAGAACAAGGACGGAGAAAGAGCATGAGTGTAAAAGGCAGGTGCAGCACTTAGCCCACTCAAGAAGGAGGTGACCTTGGTGATAGGTTGCTAGGGGTTCAGTCTTCTACTGAGGCCTGGGAAGCCCAGGAGGAAGGAGACTAGAAAGGACACTTGCTCAAGACACCTTGAGGGGCAACTTGTTCATTTTGACAGCCTTCTACTCCTTATTAGCTGGCTTACACGGGGCCACCAGCCCAGGTTGACAGGGAGGAGGCCGGAGGCAGGCAGGATGAGGGGCAAGAGGCTGCTGGGGAAGAGCAGTTTCCAGACTCAAAAGGTCCTGGGAGCCCAAGAAATGCCAAGATCCAATAAGCCATTTCCGAAGCCACAGCAGGGGCTAGCGCTGGTGTCCAGTGCCTTGGATAGAGTCTTTAGCTGGGACAGCATGTCCCACAGGAGCTGCACAGCTGCTTAGAGACCAAGTACATTTTAATACCCTCTGAGGAATGAGGAAAGAGGTGCAGAGGCATGCAAGCCCTTCCCCTGTCAGCCAGGGAACAGAGCTGGGACTGTCACCCTAACTCCCTCAAGGTGTCATGTTCCTTGGCAGTCGAGAAGTCCCCTTTCCTGCTTTCTTAGAGGAAGACTTCTCCCATCCCAGCCAGTGCAGGGACCTGTGGGTAGGCTCTCCAGGAAAAGAAACCTGCTAGCCCGCAGCATCCTATGCAGATGCTGCCTCTGAACCCCACACCTGCCTTCTGGATAATAATGAAGGGAGATCACTAATGCCAGCTCCACGCCTCCTGTGTCCCCACTGTCTGAATCCCCAGCACCCACGTAAAAAGCCAGGTGCGTGGTTGAGAGGATTCCAAGGCTCCTCGGCCAGCCACTCCAGGCTAAATCACAAGCTGCAGGGTTAATGAGAGGCCTGATCTCAAACACTGGAGAAAAGTTGAGGATTTGACATCTGGCCTCCACATGCAAGTATACACATATGCACACACACACACACACACACACACACACACACACACACACACACACCCCAAAATAAAATCTCAGAGACAGAGCTCGGAGGCAAGATACTTCTGGTGTGGAATCCAGAGCCCTGACCACCCCCACCTGTCCTTTCCTCTGGAGCGTGACCTGGGCTTCTCCACCTAACGGCCTGACCCCCAAGCATAAATGGCTGTCAGGAGACATTTTTGTGTGAGAAGAGAAGGCTCCAGGCTTCCGGGAGCAGAGGTCACAGGGGTTGAACACCTTTTGATTCCAGGGACAGACCCACAGAAAAGAATTACTGTACCAGAGGTCAGCAGTGCCAGCTTGGGCAGGCCCTGGATCCCTCAGAAAGGCTCTCTAGTACATTTCCAACCCTCTTGGTTTTCCTGGGGCTTCTTCCCCACGGTGAGCACTTTGACCATGACATTCCCCCCACCGTTTCCAAAGACACCAAAGGCGTGCTGATTTCATTTTCCTCTTAACCCTACCCCCATGAGGTACCCTAGTCTCTATCCCTTCCTTCCCCTTTGGATTTCCCAGAAAGGGGATTAAGGTTTGGCCTTTGAAGTGTCCCTCTGACAAGGGTAGCATGAGGAAGAATGAACGGCCTGGCAGCCCACATCTGGATCATGGTTCCCGGTATGCTATGGCATGAGAAAACTTCCTAGAGGTGACTGGTACCAGTGCCTGACATCGCATGTCCCTCTCTTGGTTTCTTCTTGCCCTGATGGGAACCTAACCCAGTGCCCCAAAGACACTAAGAAAGCTGCATGCGATTTTCAACACGGTTAAGCCCGTCCCTCACAGAGGACTGGCTGTCGGACCTCTGGCCTTGTGCAAATCGGGCGACTAAGACTGGCTTGCTGTGTCTGTGGAGGTGGCTCTGCTGAGGTGTGTTGAGAGGTGTGGTGTATTCCTGATGTCTATGCGTGTTTGCCCAAACTAGTTTATGTGCACCACATGTGGTGGGGAAGGGGGGTGTTGAATCCTCAGGAGATGGAGCTACGGACAGTCTGGAGCTGCACATTGTGGGTGCTGGGAACTGAGCCCGGACCCTCTACAAGAACAGTAAGCACTCTAAGCCACTGAGCCATCCCTCCAGCCCTGAGGCGTTTTCATTTCTTAATGAAAAAGGAATTTTTAAAGACTCGAAGGAAAGATTAAGTTACAGCGCCGCATGGACTGCATCATGTTTCTAAGATTCAGGTGACAGCAGCAGTTTGTCTGTGCGTCCAGGAAGAAGGCCTTTCTGGATAGAAACTTCCAGCAGTGGCATGCTTTCTGGCCTAGAGCTGGGTTTTGAGGCTTAGGGCTTGCTTTTGGAAAACAGCAAGTCTCAAAATAGACTCACAATAAAAGCGCCACTTCAACCCCAGCCAGAGATGCAGCCACCAGATTCCGTCATGTGTTTGGATTGTACAGTGTGCCGATAGCTTTGACACAGCTCCAAGGGAGACAGGCCAGGCAGAGCCACAACCCATGCACCAACCGCACCCACACGCATCCACACAGATGCACGCACACACGCACACACACACATGCACGCTGGGCTGTCCCAGTCAACACAGCACAGTCCTTGCCAGCTGACATGCAGAGATGGCTCAGGGAACGCAAAGTGTACCTTTCCACCAAACCGCTTCCCCTTCCCCGAGGCTCACACCAGCCGTGGCGGACCTCAGGACCTCTCCCTGCCCCCTGCCCACACTCCCTTCCCTCTAATTCTCTCAATCTGTTTTCTTTAGGCCTGGGGAACTGGCACATACTTTAATGGCTCTGCGGCCTGGGGTTTTTCTCCTGGTCTCTCATTATCCTCCTAGTTGGGGGTGCCATGGGCATGCAGCTGAAAGAGAATGGCCGGGGAGCCACATGACCAGGACTTCTGGGGGCAGAGAAAGGACAGCTTGCTCTTTGTGGAAAGCCTAGGGTTCTGGAGTTTGTGGAGCTGGGGCCCTGATGTCCCCTCAAGTGTGAGAGAGGTTGCCTCCTTGCTGCTACTGTAAGAGACAGTATGATCAGGAGGATTAGGGCACCAGCTCTGGCTGGGATTCACATCAGGCCTCTGTGACTCCGGAACTGTCACCTCTGACAGATCCTGTGGTTTTTCTTCCCTGAGTCTTTCTCTGTGAAGCAGGAGCATGCTGCCTTGTCAGGGGTCAGATGAACTCATACATATGGAAAGCGCTCTCTGGACACAGCCCTGGCCTGCAAGTTGGTGATCAACAAGAGTAAGATTCTAAGACACTCCCAAGGGTACTGTCCTGACCTGTTCAACACCCACAACGATGACCCCTATTCAGACAATATAACCCCACCCCCAACGTGGGGGCTTTTCTTCCATTCCGTCCCACAGGGACAGAGCAGCTGGTTTGGCTTCCACCTCTTGTATGTGGGGCCCTTACCGATGATCTGCCAAAGCAACGTCTCAGGAAGCCCCCAGAAGTGGGGTCCTCACTGCCTCCTGGCTGCGGTCTTCTTATCTGCAGCCAGTGCGGCGCCCCAGCTCCTGGTTGCCCCATAACTGCCCAAAGCCCTCACATCCTACCTTGACACATTTGCCCTCTGCCACAGCAGCAGCCCAGACACACGAAAATGACAGACCCAAGGACCCCTGGAGACAACCCCCTCAAGGACCCGGAACTTACCAGTCCATGACACGAATCCTCATTTTTTCACACATAGAGGGAAACTGGGGAAGGAAAGGGAGCCAGATGAGAACAGAGTTTTAGAAGAAAGCACTCACTGAGCAGAAACCAAAGATGCCAGCAGGACTGGGAGACCAGGAAGAACTGAGTCTGCTAAGGACCACTCACCATCGCGGGCAATGTGATGTTCTGGTTCCACTGAGGGTTGGCCGTCTTCTCCAGGATCTTGCTGCAGAGCTAGGACACACAGAGGATTGGGGTATGGGACTCTATGTGGAGTCTGAGCTTTGTGGTGACCATCCCCTGCCACACTAGCTGCTCTGACAGCTGGGCCTGAGACCCCCAGGTCCAGATGAAGGGAGGTTCTGCAGGGACAAGGCTCAAGGGAAGGTAAGACCCAGGATGGAGTGGCTGGTGCAAATGTCACAGCCTCATGTCCCTAAACCCACAGCCCTGGCTGGAGACACCCCATCCTCACCTCCCACTAAGGCCGGGTGCCCATGCCTACACACCAGCACCCAAGACAGAAACAGAAGTCAGTGGAGATACCCATAAACCACCAGGGAGGTACACAGTGGTAGACCACTCAGCCAACGTGAACAACTCCCAGTAGGAAAAAAAAGAAAAAGAAAGGAAGGAAGAAATAAAGAAGCCACAGCCTGCCTCAGACAAATGCTACCTCAAGGACTAGGCTTGTTACAAACAAGAAACCTATCAAGAATGGAAAGTTCCAAGCCAGACGCTCCATGGTGGTGCCCGTGAAGCCCCAGGGCAGCCAGCACCCACAGTTGGGAAAGTAGGCAGAGACTTGGTGTCAAGGGCTGGGGAGATGGCTCAGTGAGTCCAACCCTTGCCACAAAAGCATGAAAACTCAAGTTCTATGCCCAGAACCACGTAAAAGCCAGACACGTTATCACACACTTGTCATCGCAGCTCTTGGGAGGCAGAGGCAGGTGGGTCTCTGTGAGTTCAGGGCCAGCCTAGTCTAGATAGCAAGTTCCAAGACAGCCAGAGCTACATAATAGGAAGATCTTGTCTCAAAAATTAAATAAGGTTAAAAGTTATTGAGGATGATACCAACATACAGACACAAGTATATGTGTACACTCACACAGCACACACTTGCACGCGCGCGCACACACACACACACACACACACACACACACACGAAAACAAATAAACAAAAAACAAGCTTTAAAAGACTCAGTGGTTTGGGGAGGCAAGTGAGTCCACCCCTAACAATAGTGAACAGTCTTCTCCTATCGGTCTGTTACATGCCAAGCAAGAGTTTTACTAAAGTGTATTATCTCAGCAATGAGCATCTGAATTAGATCCAGGACTTTGGGTCCCCTAGAGTGAGGGCTTCGTCTCTGCCCCCACCTATCCAGTTCCAGCCCCTGTTCCCACTTCCCTTCCTCCCTGTAGACAGAGCCCAGGCAGGGCTCTGTCCTCCAGGGGGAGACAGAAGAGGGTGTCAGCAGTCGAGTAAAGAGACAGAGTGGGAGAGCAGCAGGTAAAGAAGGACTTACGTTTGCAGGGATGCAGCCACCGTCATTTGGGAGCATGTGAAGGCCAGATAGATAGATAGATACATACATACATAGATACATAGATAGATACATAGATAGATACATACATACATAGATACATAGATAGATACATACATACATACATAGATACATAGATAGATAGATACACAGATACATAAATAATACATAGATAATAGATAGATACATAGATAGATAATAGATAGATACATAGATAGATAATAGATAAATGATAGATAGGTAGATGATAGATACATAGACAGATAATAGATAGCTACATAGATAGATGATAGATAGATACATACATATATACATACATACATAGATACATAAATACATAGATAGATATATAGATAGATACACAGATACATAGGCTAACCAACCATATATAGTAGATGCATGCAGTATCTAATCAAAAAGTAAATATAAATTTTAAATAAGATGAAAGAAATTTCTCTGATACACACAGTGAGGCCCTACCAACACAGCTTCTTGCTTTAGCCTCTACCAAGGAAGTCCATAACCTCTGACCTAATAATCCTCGTTCTAGAAACCTTCCAATGGAAAAGCAGAATATGGACAAAGATTTCTGTACGCTGACCAAGTTGTTTATTAGAAAGGAAAAAGCTGAAATTGCATCCATCCATACAATAGGATAAACATGGCTGTGTACTCATCTATCTAATCGAGTGACTGTGTATTAACCTGAGGAAATGCTATACCAAACTGCTCACACAGAGCTGGTTCTTGCTGCTCATGGTGTCTGCAAAGTCACGCTGAGCAATGAATCAGGGCTCCCGAGAAATCATCTAAAGGAAGCGGGCGGGGTTGTTACTGCTCACCCGGCATGTTTTCCTCTGACAGCCTCACACAGCCTTCCTCTGCATGGCTCTGCAGCTGCTCTGCTGTGGTTTAACACACCGTTATTGACACGAGACTCACCGCCCACAGCACACCTCAGCTCCCGCCAGGCTTGCTGCCCGCGGCACCCCTGAATTAAGCTCACGAGGAACTGGTTTATCTGTTTCACACTTGGGGAGCAGAAAGCCTGTCAGCACAACACTCTGAAGTCACTTGAAACAAGAGAACCCCAACAAAAGGCAGAAAGCAGCCCTCTCTCCCCAAACCTGGCACTAAATAGATCAAGGAAAGGCCTCATGTATAACAAACACGACAGCTGAGATGCTAAGGTTGAGTGCCAGCCTGCCCTTCAGCCAGTTCCCCGTCGCAGGACTGTGAAGGGAAAAGCAAGAGCCACAGAGAGAACAGACCAAGCAAAGTTTGCCTCAGCACACGGACACTTTTCATTTGTTGTTTTGTTTTGTTTCTCTGATTTTTTTTCACATTACAATAAGTGAATTTCATTCTTGGATCCAGAAAAAAAAGTCTAAAGCACCTGCCTTTCTCTAAAGTCCGTTCTCTTTCCCTGTCCTATATACGATGTACACACACACACAGTGACTCGGCCCACTGTGTGATTGGACACATCTTGGGTAACAGTGCCACCAAGCGTCCATAAGCAAAAAATGCAGAACCATCCAAGTGCGGCTGGGCGGACGCTAGCAAAGCCCTAGGGTTTGCAAGTAGGTGTAAAGAGGAAAAAATAAAAACAGAAACACAGATAGAGCCAGAGTCAGAAATGGGGATGGTAAGACCGGGGTGAGAGTGGGGAAGACCGGATGGAGTGAGGACAAGGCACAGGGCAGAAAAGCGACAGGAAGGCCTGAGGCCCACAGAGGCAGCTGGCTGCCCCTCCCCGTCAGCTCACTCCTCAGCCCCTACCCTCTCAAGCACGACCACAGGGAGACCTTTGTCTAGTCTCCCAAGT